TATAGTCACAATACTGAGGAACCAAGAGTCATAGTTTTGTGAGACTGATTCCGAAGTTACCTGTTTTAGTATTTGAGTTTTTTGTTTATAAGCACACTGTTCTTTGTATATGCTCATTTTCTTTTCCACGTGTGCCTTTTGCAGACGTAATAAACTTATACTTATACTTATACTTAAATGAATCCTATAGCAAAATCACTGATATGGACAACTAGCGTAGGGTCCTGCGAAGCGTGCTGCCATGCTCGTTAGGCGTTCTGACTGAAACCAGAGAAGAGAAATCTAACGAAAGACTGGGCCGAAGCTGGGCTTTGTTGAGCAATTTTTCATTCAAAATAATAAGTAATTTGTTCCTTTCAGACCGCGCTTCTTTGGGATACCTGCTTGGGCGCTCTCTACTACTCACATTTTTATATTTTCACCGTCGAAATCGAAGACCCAAGCTACTACTCCCTTTGCTTTCCTTCACTCATTTCTCACCTAGAGCTTACTGAGGTAGTACTCGAATTGACGTAACCGCCTAAGCATGGAAGAGAAAGAACTTAGATCTAGAACTGCAAAAGTCGTTAGTTGTCACAAAACCGCTTGGCAACAGTGAGGAAATTTCATTGTAATATTTGGGTATAACCGAGAGCGGCGGAAGTGGTGTAGTGGACAAGTGGCACGCTTACCACGCGAGCGGTCCGGGGATCAAATCCTGGGTCGTGAGTCGCCCGGGCCAACCAAGCCTTCCATCCCTCCGGGGTCGGTTAATTGGTACCAGACTTGTCTGGGAGGATAAAAACACTGACTTGTACATCGGCTGGCCCCCGCAAGTCATTGTATAGGCCACATCGCATTCAAACGCCACTACGAATGTACAAATGGAAGTAGAATGCGTGCCGCATCCCAAAAAGGGATTGATCAACGGCAAATGCTTTATCCTTTATTTATCCTCCAACTGGGAAGAAATGTCATGTGTTTCTCTTCTCAGCCTATCTTAAGCGCGCAGTCCACATTATATAACTCACTTGCAGTAATCCCTTGTAAACTTCACCAAATGCTCCTTCACCAATTTTTACTTGTGGCTCTATCTGAAAAAATCCTGATTTTTTTTCTCATGGGAATTGAATGTGATCCACATTCCATACCTGTTCTGGATTGAGTTGCCATTCTTTTTTCTGACATGGCCTTTCCAAGTAAACTCCTTGGGCTGTTAAAGGCGCCCTATTTCTCAAGTGATACTGCACCAAATCGCTAACTGTTTTGAAAGCAAAGTCGTATACCCAGTAGAGACGTTTCTGGAAAGGAGACGGTACATTTGGAGGGTTCCGCTGGAAAAAAAGAGCGCTAGAGAACTCTACTTTGGAGGTGCGTTTAACCAGGAAATGCTTCATTTCGCCGGAATCCACCAAGCTTATCACGATATGATGACGACCAGCCACATCTGTCTTCCGCACTGGAAAGAAGCAACAGATTGGATTCGAAGCCGCAATCCTATGACTATGAGATTGAGGGAAAATTTAGATCAACAATGCACTTTCATTTGAGAGACTTTCGTTACAGTGAGATATCAATCTCTAGTTTCTCTAATGGTGCACAATGAATAAATAAATATTAAATCACTTCATTATATAAACCAGAACTTTGGTGTGTCGGTTTGTCGGTGTGTGTCGTTCTGTCCGTCCGGACCAACCGCTCACAAAACCAGGGAGTACGAAGGGCAACACTTCGTGATGTTGATGTCATGATCATGATAACACCCACAGCGGCTATATAAACACCGATCGAGCACACTCAGTCTCATTCTACATGGTGCTGCCGTGGCAGCTGGAGGGGGGGGTAGGAGGCAGAGGGCAGGAAAAGAACAAAAGAGGGAGGGGAGGGAAGAAGAAGACAAGGAGAAATGAGAGAGGACATTGTGCTGCCGTGGCAGCCGGAGGGGCAAGACGGGAGGGTAGAAGAGGGGGTGGGAGAGGATGCAGGGAGAACAACCGCTTCCAACTGGAAAGGCTATTCCGTGTTGATGTATTACTCTAAGGTGATTCTGATAACACCCACAACGGCTATATAAACACCGATCGAGCACACTTACGATTAGTCTCATTCTACATATTATACACAAGTGGAAGGACCACAGCGGAAGACGTGAAGCTTACGCAGGGAAGCAACGTCCGGCGGTTGACGGGGGACCAATCTGGTATATCGATATAAAATATCAAATTAAACACAATTAATAGATAGATCATCAAATACAAATTATAATTATTATTTATAACTATGACATATGAGAGATAATTACTCAACAACGCCACAGTTTTCGCAGTTGTGGCGGTTACTAGTCGAAAAGAGTCGTAGGAAAGCTCATTTTCATATTCCAGTGATTATGTATTTTTTGACAAAGTTCGTTCTGAAGGCATGAAACAGATGGTGGTCGGATGGGGCTAGATCTGTCGAGCGAGGAGCCTGGGGTAGCATTTTCCCATCCGGGATCGGCAATGTCCTGAAGCGACAACATTGCATGTGGAGACGGGGGCCATCGTGGAAAAGGTGAACGTTGTCGCATTTCAAGCGTTTCTGGCATTCTTGGCTATCTTTTGTAGCTGGCAACCAAGCAGAATGATCTATATAGATCCGGCAAAGTTAATTTGAATTGGAGCACTTTTTTAAAAATCCTTTCAGTAGTAGAGCAGGACCATTTTCTCGTATAAAAACTCTAAATTCGTAATGATCTTACTGCATCGATCCGGCCCGATCTCCTTCTCTCAGCGGGCCAATCCAACACCCCCTCCCGCTGTCGCCTGTCGAGGATTCCTCAACACACGCTCGACACGTCCCCCATCCTTGGGCTATACATACGTGTGCATCAACCTTGTTCGTGGTGGTGCCAAATGGGGACATGCTCTGCGCATTTCCCACTGCCTTTCTGACTGGATGTGTTTGTTATGTGTTTGTATGTCACTTGCAAGGTTGAGATGACTTGCCAAGAAATCCTCCGTCTTTTTTAAGAATCTTCTCGGCATCATTTCTCGTCATGAAGCCATGGTAGTACGGTTCATCCTCGATTAATTTCACCGTTCTTCCAGCCTCATCACAATTGATCTGTAAATCTGTGGGTATGGATTTTTGACAACTCCTTTGAGTTATCTTTCATTACCTGGACAAGCCTTCTTGAAGATTGACCGGTGGGGGATACGCGATAATCTTTGGGTTTCTTTTCGTCTCTCTGAAAGTGGAAGTTTCAAAACTTTAGCGGTTCTAAATGTATAATGGATAGTCGCATGAAAGATAAAGACCTCGGCTGGTGATGCTTCTCTAGGATACTCTACAGCTGTTTCTCCAGGATATCGCTGTGCAAGCTCCGTGGCCGCTTCCGCTGGAAAAATGTTGATTAGCCATAATGGAACAATCGCTTTTGAATACGGAGGGTGTCTGAGATTGCTTTGAATCTTTTGCTCATTTCCAAGCGTCAGTTATTTCAAACCTGCTTCCCATATCCAGGGTTATCACGATAGCACCTTTCTCACTGGTCAAAGTGTAGGAGCATTCATTCTCCGAGTTTTGCGAGATTACGCGATTAGAAGATCAGGATATTCAGCTTACTTACTTCTTACTTCTCGACCGCTATTCGTCCTGGGCACGTCAGATACGTGGTCTGAGATCTTCCAAGCCGCTCTGCTTCGCGCTCGTCTGTGCCACAGTTGGCCGTATCAGTTTAGAGTCAGTCGGATGGAAGGTGCCAGTGGGCCTTGTTTTGCCCCTTGTGTATCAGTCACACAACGTCTTGGTCCAACGATCACAGGAGAGCCAAGCCACATGACCGGCCCACCTTAGCTTGGAATTATAGATGGCATCGACGACGTCCTTCACCATCGTACGAGCGCGGATGGTTTCATTGGGTATGCGGTCTCGGAGCGAAACCCCGCACATGGCCCTCCCCTGGTTCGCTGTTTGATTGCGAGTTTCTCTTCTTCAGAGACTCCATGGCCCCTACGTTATTGCTAGAGGAACGCCCAGATCTGAAGACGTGAGCCTGCAGGTCTGGGCGTTTCAGAAGTTAGCACATTTCGGAGTCTATTACAGCTCATCCAGCCCGCTCTGTGGCATCCTAAGCTCGAGCATGGAATTATTCATACATGTATGAGAAGAATCGCTCGATCTCCTGGCCTTCTAGGAAGATCGGCTGGTACTGAACTTGTTCGTTGTGCATCCACTGAGTCTTGCCGGGATGAATTTGTAGTCCGATTTTGCCGGCTTCCTGCCTGATGAGGCTCAGGGATTGCGCAATGTCGGCGGGGTCCTCGCCTATCAGAACACAGTCATCAGCGAAGAGGAGATGCGTTAAGCGAACGCCGTCGATGTTCACTCCTCCGGGCAACGAGATTCGCCTCATGATGTTCTCGAGCGCAATAGCGAACAAGTTCGGGGACGTAACCTCGCCTTGTCTGACGCCGCGCCGGATTTGAACACGGACCGGTGTTTTTATGAGTTTGATATCGGTATAACAGTCCGTGTTGCACTGCCGCGTGATTCTAATATAGGGCTCGGGGATACCGCACTCGCGCATGGCGTTGTATACACTCTCATGCTCCACTGTGTCGAAGGCCTTTTTGAAATCGATAAAGAGAAGACACAGTGGGGTGCGCTACTCGCAGAAACATTCCGTCAGCTGTGATATTACGGTTGGCGAAAGTGAAATACTTGAACGGAAATCAGCTTGCTCTACACCCGTGTACGCACTCTGCTTCCATTCCTAGATTCGTGGTGAATGCGGCCTTTACAATGACTTAGCGGGGGCCAGCCGATGTACAAGTCAGTGTTTTTATCCTCCCAGACAAGTCTGGTACCAATTAACCGACCCCGGAGGGATGGAAGGCTTGGTTGGCCCGGGCGACTCACGACCCAGGATTTGATCCCGCAAACCGCGTGCATGGTAAGCAGTGCCAGTTGCCATTTGACCACTTCCGTTCGATTAACCGAGATGAAAGTGGTGAATATGGAATAGGAGTCAAGGGACCTAGGAGGAGGCGAGTGATTGAGAAGACCTCAAGTTGGTGAGGATTGGCCGCGTTATAGTTGCAACTCCGGAGATTAGGAGTAGGCGACAATGAAAAACATATGTATTGACGGCAGATTAGGATATTAGTAGATTAGGATAGTAGTAGAGTAGGAGATTGCGCTGACAAGATTAGATACGTATCGATTGAAATTTCCGGAGAGTAGTAGATTGCGATATTACGATAGTAGGATAGTAGTAGAGTAGGAGATTAGGGATAGCAGTAGATTCAGGGGCCGGTTTAGAAACCTTCATTAATTCACACTTAACGTGTCGAGATTAGCTCAGACCAAAGTCAGTTTAGATAACTGGTTCAGAGCGCTTCTCAACACATTAAGTCTTGTTTAACCTACAGTTAGATCATAACCAAAAAAACCAATTTGACTTGAAGTTAGACAGTTAACTTGTAAACCTAATTCCTAACTAATCAGAGAAAAAAAATACTGTGGGGTTAAAGAGACGCAGAGGCCACGTTGATCCTTCACTAAAAAGTACTCCGAAGCACTTTTCACTGGAGGGTCATACGTGTCAGACGTGGTGACTGCGCCTCCTCAATCCCGTGCTCTTTTTTCTTCTCTGACCAGCTCAACCTGTTAGGAATCAAAGAATGCAGCTGCGATCCATAATCTTCAGGTACTTTTGCAACCTTTTTTTTCTTATTTATTCGTTTCCTGATATTTTGTCGTCTGAAATCTAAAGTAGGAAGCTCTTGCTTGATCTGGGCTGGATCGCACTCTCCATTCTTTATTCTTTGCTTAGAATCTCCGATCGTTACTTCTGATTGCGAGTTAAGGGTACTTTGCTACCGTCCCAGGATAGTTGAGCTAGAATAATCCTTACTATATATAAAGCGCTATGTCTGTCTGTTTGTGTGTGTGTGTGTGTGCGTGTGTCACGAAATTCATAGCACGCTGTCGCAGCAGTCGTTGGGAGCTGATTTTGGGATATGATATAGGGGTGGGACGGGAACATATTTGGTGGGGGTCAAAACGTGATAACGACTGATGAGGACTGATAGTATCGATATGCGTACGAACGTAGAGAGCCCTTGAAATAGAAAATAGAGAGCAGATTGTAGATAATGCCTTTCATTTCAAGTGTCATTTCATCAGCGTTGTAATTGTAAACTTAAAGGCAAACTCCGGAATTAAACTGGTGCTAAGAGCGCTTCGCAGTGATAGCTTAGCTGCGGAGCGACCCCAAAGTGGAGAGGGAAGCGAGAGAACTCTTTGGGAACGCTGAACTTAAGGCCTTAACCTTCAAAAAGGTCGGATGTGGTACGACGGCAAGACAGGGCGATCAGAGAGGTCAAAACACGCGAGAGAGAAATCGTTTGAGAGAAGGGCCTGCTGATCTTACGATCAAGGCACGCGTGGATTGCACATCTCGCGGTGTGGGTGGGAAGCGTTCGATGGTTGGAGGCCCGTAAGGATTAGCGCCCTAACCGCGCGATTTTCGCGACCAAGTTGAAGTGATCTAGGTAGGTACGGGTCTTACAATTTCCCTCGCGGTATCCTTCCTACTAGTCGGGCTAATCCCGGGGTTTGCCTTTAAACACCTTTTGATGCTACTTCCCGATTTGAGGATGAGAGGGTGCTTCGAATAATATCCTTCTATTTTATAAAGCGCTAACTTTGTGTGTCGGTTTGTATGTCTGTATGTGTGTGCGTGTGTATGTATGTATGTATGTATGTATGTATGTATGTGTGTCCGTCCGCAAAATGAAAGTGAGTGAGAAGGAAGCTCATGGGATAAACAAACCGCTAACAAATCGGGTAGCTTACAGGATTTGAGATATCAATGTTTTGTAGCAGGATAGTTGTGATAACACTCTTAGGGCTATATAAACACCTGCTTAGCACACTTCCGTTCATTCCACATGGTGCTGCAGTGGCAGCTGGAGGGCAGTGGAGAGAGGAAGGGAGGATGAGGAGAGGGAAGAAAATCTACCGTCATATCATGATTGTGTCCCTTCTACTGTATGAAACACCATTGTGTTGCATACGCGTCACTTCCAGGTGTTGGTGTCACAGGAGGAAGGGACCATAGCGGAGGATAGAAAGCTTGCGCAGGAAAGGAAGGTCCCGGCGGTTGACGGGGGACTAATCTGGTTGATAATGAATACTGGGCATTCCGTTTTGAGATATTCGACCGCTAAATTACCTCGATACTCGACGCATAGTGGTTGTTTACATCATCACTTTAGCTGTGCACTTCACTGCGCTTATCATACAGTGAGATACAGCCAGCCTATGCAACGAACAGTAATACATTTAACGAAGCAGCTATAATTTAGCGATGAAACCTAAAGCTTTATCGATTGTCGGTGGGTTCTATCCAAAAGCGGCCCGGTTAGCGGGCGAGTAAACCTGGTGTTAGAATGTATTGATCTCATGGCGCTTGAGGTCGACATTCTGTACTCTCCAGCGAGTTTGAATCGATATGATTATCAATATTCCCCCCTAGCGCAATCTCTCTCTGCGTACACGGTCATTATATAATTCGCTAAGGTATGTTGCACGTGTGTGTATGGTGTTTCACAATTTATGCGCACTTTCGTAGCAGGCTGAGGGGGCCTGTATGGGGTAAGGCAAAATCGGGCTCAATAAGGGGGTATTATGGCGATTGAAACTGAGTATAGAGATGCGAAGTGGAACGACAGTGGAGAAAAACTGAGAAAAACCGTCGACAAGGCCGTTAACAAAACCCTCTTTCCCACTAGCAGTGAAGGAGGCTGGCTTGGGAAAGAGGCACGTACAAACAAGTTTTCTGGAGATGTCAGTCGTTCTATCGGTTGATACGGCAATCAACCTAGCTGATTTCACACGTTATGCCAGCCACGCACCACTTCCGGAGGTGGGCGGTCGGAGCGCCGCCAGGCGGCGAAAGCGCTTAATACGTGCCTCTGGAGCCTTATTACGGCGCCGTTCGGGATTCTGAGCATGTGGTGACGTCTCTGTGAGTGCGTAGCCATGCACAAAGACGACGAAAGGGATTGGTTTGTCCACTGAGCCTGACTCGTGCCTTTAAGAATGTTGGAGGGCGGTGGCACGGAGAACCCTTTGGTGGGTATCCAAAGTGATAACGACTGATAAGATCCGATAAGAGGCGCCAAAACGCCAATCCCATGATATCCATAGCGTGCGTTCCAGCACCAGTGAGACGTTGGTTCCGAGAACTGTTGTAGGGGGTGGGGCGAGATCATATGAGCGTGCGGGGAGAGCGATTACTGGCTTGTGATAAGGGGCGATAAAAAACAACATGTGCAATAAGATAGAGGCCTCTCAAAACCAGATTTTGGATAAAGCATTTTATTCAATATTCTTTCATTTGCGTTGTTGTCATCAGCCCGAAATATCACAAGACCGCTACGCTCCCTAGAGGTCCGAAAAATGTTCGGTGGATTGTTTCGGAAAAACACAGTGACGGTGTGACTTTTTATTTTATATATACACGCAGTCCGCGCGAAATTACAATGGCATTCGATGCAGTTGTGGTTAGTTTACAGGACACCGCACTTCACGTGGCACGTATCAACGGATGAGCTTTTGAAAGATGGCAGCTATGGAGCGGTCAGCTAACGCATTTTTCAAAACAGCTCATTGTTTAGTGGTGAATCTAACGCTTTGTCGGCCGTCCTGTCTCATCTGGACCTTCCGTTTGATGCGCGCGTCAGCGTGCGGTGCCAAACTGATATCCCATATCCTATCGCTCTGTCTATGTTCGCTTATTAGCGAACGATGAACGGGCCAACCGGATCTGTAGCTACGGATTTGGAGGCGGGGGGGACAGGGACATTTGACACGGGGCATTGAGAGACCGTGTGTAGGCCTCTCAAATATGTTGTTCGCTTTCTATGGTCAGGCTAAGTAGTGTACAGTGGCGTCATGGGATTGGGAAGGTTCCACCCCCAACTTGAGGCCTGACTCGGTTTACTCTCTAGTCGCCTACTCACATTCGCCATGAGTCTATTGCATCCCTGAATGCCCTTTTCCTGCCTAATCGGCCTTCTGAATGAAAACTAAACCATGACGTTGCTTGAAAGATCACTGTTTGTTGAAGGAGACCACGAAACCGCACGGGAACTGCGGAGGTTGTCTCGGTCATTCCTCCCAACATTCAGATCGTGTCTTTAGCCTTGTGACACTTGAAATACCGAGCCCCCTGGGTATGCTTTCCGGTATTAACTTACCATCAGTTTTCTTCGGTGGCTGAGGTATATCCGTTTCGCCATCTTCGGCACCTTCTGGAAGAATGCAGACAGCTATTGATTCTCACAGATGTGACGGCTTCGAAAGCAGAACGTGAGTTACCCACCCTGTGGCATGACACGTTAGGTATTGAGAATGAACCCTACTCGGCGTGACGGGAAGTTGGTATGCACTGAATATCTAAACACTGGAGAAGAAATGAAAAAGATCACGTCAGTCGTTCAGCTAGCCGTGTGGCGTTAACGAATCGCGCGATTCGCTAGCGATGAGCAGCGAAGTTTGACTCCTGTCATACACTTCATGGATCTTTTGTAATTCCAGACTCATAAGCGCCAGAACAACTCTTGCTTTGTGCCGATTGCTTCAGGAAGTCAAATGACCGTGCGTTTCGAGCCTGAACACTAGAGAGAGTATTGAGGTGCGAAGTGCAATCGAGTGTGGGCGCCGGACGGAAAAAAATTATTGCCCTTGTCGGGGAATTTCTATGCACGTAAGTACCATATCGACTGTTCTCCGGGAGTCCATCCTACAGACCGAAGGCAATCATTTGCACGGTTCTACCTTCAAAGCCAAGCCTCGGAATCTAGCCCACTAGTAGGAACCATGCCACGAGAGAACATGTTGAGTAGGCACCCATAGAAGTTGTACCAGTTTCGTTGCGCAAACTGGCGCGATTCTGGCGCCAAGCTTGTAATGACTGACCGCGGTTTGGTTTTATGGAAGATCAAAAGTGGATGGTGCTGCAACGTTGCTTATGGCGTGCGGCGTGAAGCCACTTAAGTACTGGAGGTTCAGAGTGGTGAATGGGTTACGTGCGAAGGCGATAGGGTAGCACTAGCCGGCAGCAACGAATCCAATTGGCCCCCTTGCTCGGCTTGGGCTATCAATACGGCTACTGCGCCTATCGACTATTTTAGCCCTCGCGCTTAACTAAGCGGCCTAACGCTAATCGAGTATTTACGATCCAACTATGTACGATCGAAATGAGATCGGAAGAGAGCATTCGATGGGTCTATGTTGAAAACACCCTCGTTCGGAGTCGCTCCTTTCCTATTCTAACATGGCTTGGTCCTGAAAGAGAGGGGCCTTGTTCGGGGTCCAATCAGAGATCTCTGTTTCTTTCTTTCCCTTTTTTTTTTTTCGAATCACTCCCTATCCCCAACTTCATTATTAAACGCTCTCAAACACAATTTTAACCGGGGCTTATCTTTGAGTCAATGTACAGTTGACCCTGGTTTCCATCCATGAACGCCGCGTCTCACACTCGTTTACTACCCTCATGAGAATCAATTTTTCAAGTTCTTTCAATTTTTCGACTCTGAAAGTCTACAAGGGTTACTAACGTTCTGAAATGAGCTCTTGAAAACATCATAGTTGCTTCGTCTTAAATATGAAAACTGCTTTCATTGGACCTTGTCCATTCAGACTTTGGTGTCAGGCTTGTCAGCTTTCTTTGTTTGGCGTCCTTTCATTATTTACGAGTAGTGTTCCTTGTTAAAAAACTACCGTTTCGGTTTTGGATACTATTTTAATGTTAGATAACCCTTACTCGACCGACTCTTATTCGTAGTGAAACATTCTCGCAATCATTGCTATGAAATGGCTGGAGTGGTCCAAATAAAACAATCAGATTGATATAGTTATTTTCATTATGGTTCTCAGCATATGTTACAGCATATTATTAAATAGTAGTACTGTGAAAACAAATGCCGTGTCGTCGTTCGAGACTAGGGAAAGAGGCTACATACCACACGCATAATCCTGAATCGCATCTCAAAAAACACTATTGAGCGACAGAACTGATAAAAAGCGATACAATGTCTGATGACCCGTTTGAGATTCATTTGGGCGTTCCATAGGCGAACAGGTGAAGGAAAAAGTGAGTTATCCATAGAATGTCTGCTCTTGGTCGACCAGTGTGTGAAGGGTGATCGGTGGCATGATACCAGTGGCGTCGTGGTGGACGAAACGGGATGTCGCTGGTGAAGGCAATTCACTAAAATCACAACTTGAACCCGAAGTTTATAATGAAAAGGCAGCCCATAAGAGAACAAGACAGGTGGTCAGTGGTGCAACGATGCGAAAAAAAAACTATAAGAAATGGTCCAGAACCCGAGAGATGAGGCCCTTTGATTCATGCATTGATGCAGCTCTCATCGGTGCCGCCCTCTTCAACGCTAATGCTCTTTCCGCTAAACAGCTAAGGACCTGCGGCGCAAGGGACCCCCTTAGGCGACGCCCACCCCGCCTTTTCAGTAGGCATAATTCTCCCTCTTCGACCTGCGATCCCATTATGGAATTTTCCTGGAGTAATTTTCAAGTTTTCTCCCTATAAAAATGTGTATCCTCTTGGAATTCCCTACTCTGGGACCAGGACTAACTGTAAGGAAAACACTGCCGACGACTGGCACCAGTAGCGATCGTGAATGAATGGTTAGCGACAACCACCAACTAAAAACACCCTTTAAAAATATCTAGCGGTTTCAACAATCTTCAGCTATCGGTGCGCTACGCAATCATTAAAGAATTTAGGGCGCATTTTTTATTCGTCCTTCAGTACAAAATTTGTGTAAGTAGGTGAATTGGACAGTGCCGGGCTACCAAGCGCATAAGACTAATATCATACTTCGCGAATCCAGCGAATTGCTAGGTACGAGCAATGAGCCAGCGCTTCGAACGGTATGCCAGCTATTCGAGCGGTGTCCCAGCGATTCGAGAGTGCATGGAAGTGGCGAGAGTCCTCTTCATTTGCACGATGACTTTCGCCTTTTTCCTAGGCTGAGATACTAGACTCTCATACCGTCGCTAGCTCTCATACAAACGCAGAGAGCTAGCGGGGGCATGAGAGCCTGGAGAGGCGGCGAGGGTCAATGTGCGAATTAGAGGGACTCTACCACTTTTAACACTCCCGAACCGCTGGGGCATCGTCTGAACAACAAAGTCTGGCACTGGCCTAACCTGCTCACCATAGTCAATCGAAGGCACGTTCTGCGATTGAATAGATGTACGATGATCGCATCGGAGGCCGTGTGCAGCAATATTCCGGCCGGAGACGGGCCCCAAAACTCTGCGTCTTCGCTCCAGTCGACGACGTAGTCCTGATGGTCAAGAATGGGGGAGGGGGTGCGTAAACAGATGCAGAGTTTTGGGACCCATCCCCTCAGGGTACTGCACTTTGCCCCGAAATAAAAGCAGTTTATGGCGTGGCACAGCCATCAACTAATGATAGATGAGCAAAAAAAAACTGCTAACGAATTTTTGTGAAATTACACTGATCGTGACGAAGAACCGTACTCGTATCTTATTCTTTACTCTGGGAACTGCGACTGCTACACGAATAGCTGCTATTTGAGAGAGTCATCCACTTTCGATCAAGTGTTAACAACAAGACTTCCGCAGGTGTAAGACGTAAACTCCGCCCAAGCCAATAGCGTGCAGTATGAGACTTAGGGTGGCTGCTCTCTCTCATCACTGATTAAAATTACCTCCCACATCTCTACCATGTCTACGTGAGTCTAAACTCTCGACCCATGAGAGCTTGGCCACCTCTCGAATGACTAACGGGAACGCAACGCAGATGGTGTTGCTGCCCAGCACCAAAATGGCCGTCCACAAGACTTTCGGTGTTGGTCATCATGAATATCTGCGCGTACATACATATCTCGCGTTATCTTCCTCCTCTCTCGGAGCTGCTGGAGAAAGGTGCTAGAGGTTTTTTGGCCCAGGATGACCTACATTATCTCTCATCTACCAGAGATCTACATAACCTGATCACCACAAATAGACTACAGTTAAAACCGCTTCATCACCGTTTGGTTGCTAAGTCCACTGTATCTTCCAGGGCTAACGAGAGCTGGGAAACATCACGGCGTAACATCTCTGAGATCGGGCCCATCAATAATCAGACCAGGAGAAACAAAAATCCAGAACCGGCCACTGGCGAGGAACGTCAATTCCCAAATCTTCATTGGTCAAAGAATGGTACAGAACTCACGAGTCATTGAGCGACTTTCCGACGGGTTTTTGCGATCGGAACGGTTGTCGCTGACGATGTCTTGAACTATGACTGCGTTGTCGCTTCTTTTTACGTTCCAGCTTCGATTTGAAGAGATAACAGAAAAACATACAGATGAATAGGAATGTACCGCCACAGAACACACCCGCAATAACAATCGTCTTATCGGTGCTGCTCTCCTTTCTTGCACCTGAACAGAACCATTGACTGACTCATCCCTTCGTTTAATGCAACAAGAAACAACCCATAGCTGCAAAATCAAGTTGAACTGGGAGCTCTCCAATGAAAAGTGAACATTGGATCGTTTCTCAGTGCGTATCTAAATACACATTTCACGCAGCCTGAGTCTAATGAAGTCGAAGAAGCTGAAGAATGTAGGCTTTCGTGGTTTCGCCATTCAAAGAAGAAAACAGAAGGAATCACTAAAAATGCCAACAATAGGGTCTCCGTATGCCGTTGACTCAGGGTATTACACAAGCCTCACCCCAGAAAAAGACTCCCGGAGGAGAGACAAGTGAAACTGTCATCAAGGTGCGGAACGGGAGAGTGACGAGGGGCACGCAGACACCATTGTGGCGTCATTCTAAATAGGGTCAACTGTGCATTCGATCGACAGCTTCTCAACGAGTGTGATTGCTTGAGTTTCTTTCGAAGGGAGTCATTTTTAGTCCCTGCGAAGGTCATGTGAAGGTCAGTTGATTGGAAAGGGATGTCTGAGGTGCAAAAATTTTGAAAGTCCAAAAAATTCTTAAAACGTGGAGTAGGACAGAGGTCTCTCTTCAGCGAGCGCCTTTCCTGTTAAAATTTTGAATTGAAACAGAATTGCGAAAACGTCCAGGATGAAGTAGTCAAAAATTTAGAGCAATCTATTCGGACCTATTTACCTTCATTAAAACAAAAAGAATCGTAATGCAACTCCCTATAGTTGAATCGGGGCATTGTACGGTCACACGTCGAAGAGAGTGCGAGTTGGAAAGAGAGTATTGAGTGAGGATGGGGGTGAGGAAGCATAGGAATGAGAGAGACGCAGACAGGACGCGTGATCATTTTAGGACCTGACTGCCGAGATAGAACCACCTGGTATGCGATTTTGATCAGTGCCCAATACCACATACCATTTCGTCTAACAAGCAAAGGACGTAAGTAATTTAAAAGCCAAACTAGTTGTTCACACTCGGGCACACTTCAAATCACTGCAATCATTCAACGATTAATTAAGCATATAGAGAACACTTACTACTATGTATCAATCAATAGCCATGTAATACACTGCACACAGATGAATCAGATCGGATTCCACACAGCAATCAGAAGCGGTGAGATGTTCAGCAGCTGAGACACAACGACGGTTGTGGTCGAGCTGATAAACAACATCGACAATGAGCCGGACATGGACGATGATTGCACTCTTGCACCTCAAAACACAAATCTGCCAAGCGGACGCTCTCATGCGCCGATCATCCACCGAAAAACCAATTGACACACTAATGCACAACAGTCACACCATCTACCTAACGCACACCAAGCGCGCAATGAACCATTAGCGTAGAAAAGGTTTTGCTCTTACGTAGTCTCCCCATCTCACCACCACAACCTGACTCCTCGATCTTCCCCTTTAATCTGCACCGGCCACGCTATGCTGCGCACTCTACAGCTGGAAGTCACACGAATGACTCAATCTGCTTATACTTGAAGCAATACTCATATGGTGCATTCACATTGACGAGTGTTTACACTCAGAAGATGCGTATGAAGACCAGATTAGTGCAAGATATCTTGCCGGATACGCACTACACCTAAATCGAATGTGACGAGTAATAATCTTCAAATATAAATATTCAACACGCGTGACGACGTTTCAAACGGACGAGTTTCGACCAATGAGGTGAGTCACGCTATTATCCTTAAGGGTCTGCGTCCGATCGCCTTATCAGGGGGATGCATGATAAAGAGCTAAAACGGCGAGGGCCGATATGCAACTCAGAGGCATAGAGGAAAGCCTTCATCCTGAAAAATCTCTTCCGTGGTTTAGATGACACAAAATTTGGAAGCGACATGGACTTCCGCTACAAGGTGAGCGCTCTGAAAAGCTGGTAGAAAAATAGACCTGAAAAATAAAAACTATGGGAAGGCTCTCAGGTCGGTGTTAGGCTGGTGTCAGACTTTGAGAATCGAATCGATTTCCGCGTCGCGTACAGCGAATCAAGCCATGCGCAGTACGCAACGCAGCCGCGAACGCTAGCGAATCGCTTGTAGCTCGATCGCTCGATTCACAAAGTCTGACATCGGCCCTTGCGCAATTGACTGGGACACAAACGGGAAATGCTATATTCGCTGGAATCCCTCCATGTCCCGTTTTGAAAATAATTCATCTGAATTGACTTGCATGCAGGAAAGAGTGCAGCCTGCGTCATGAACGCAAGGCTCGGGGGGGGGAGCTCGTTCAACTGCCAAATCCCAGCGAATTCGCAGCATTTTGATACGGATTGCAACAAGCTTCAGACTCTAAAATCTGGATGATGTCTTTCACCATGTCGCATTGAACATATTGCAGTTTTATGATTGCATGGAGAAAAAATTAATACTTTTTTACAGCATAAGGTTTCTTACATATTGTCGCGTCCGGTTGCGTAGCGGCTGTGAAATACACGCCTGTCAGTGCGAAACTTGACAAACTCGACGTTTTTTCTTCACTAGTGGCCACCGATAGCTCATTGGTTCCTTGAACAAAAAACTCGAGCCGTAGGCATCAATACCGCAACGCAATCGCGCGCGACGGGGGATTGGTAAACACTGGGAATGCAACACCGGACTTATGAATACTCATGCAACATGAAACGTTTTTGCAAGAGGCATTTCGTCCTTCAAGATTATCAATGATTTCTATGAAATGTAGCGGGTTTTTGCGAATGGCAGAAACAAGTTTCGGTGCTAAGCTAGACGGCTAAACTGCTGCCCTTTATCTCAACGATATTCATACTATTTATTCAACTAGTACTGAAAAGAAATTGGAGACGACCGTGCTGTTTATTGATGTAAAGCGAGCAGTCGTACTGTAGAGTCCGTACCAGTCAGGTAGACTATTTAAAACGCTGTCCTCATGAGTTTTTTGATTTCCAACATTTCGCTCCACAAACTCGTGCACGTTGGCAGATCTACCTGCCAACCGCCTCGCGGCCCCTCGCTTGTGCTACGGATGAATTGCGCGATTTATAATCTTGCTGAAGAATTTAATATGTCTTTATTAAAGCGCGAAAAACGCTAAACTTGGTTTCAACTAATTTTCGGCTTCTATACGAAAGCCTTCGCGACCGTCGGCAACCTACAATGGGTTTCATCGGTGTCGTCCTGATGTCCACAGTTCGCGTCACCATTGCACCGTAACATGGAACTAATGCATAGTTTAGAGTAAGTGCACATATACTCTGACGAAGACGAACACTCGCTCATTTCTGAATTTAAAAATCGTTCCATTAAGAATTTTCTATATGAAGTAGTCGCTGAGTCTCACCGTTCACTTCACGCACTTCAGTCCAGCTCATATTGAATCCCTTCAATCCGTTTACCTTGTCGGGACTGGTCAAAAAGCTGAAATGCCATAGAATAAGACTTGACTTCAATAAAAGGGGCGTAGGTCAATGGGTTCACAACGTTTGTTGAGAAAATCTCAATCTTATGGTTACTTTGAGAGTTGACCTGCTGATAGTGGCTAGAACCACAAAAGGGGTTTTATTTTACAAAAGGTCATTAAGTGTTCGTGAAAGTGTGGGTGTAAGAGAATTTATGACTGTTTCCATTGTTCTAGAACAGTTATCTGTCCATTCCCACTTCCTCGTAGGTCGACGATTTTTTTTTTCGAAAAATGGGTGTAAAGGCAATGGCAAGGTGGTGGTAATGAAGAGCATGGAAATAATGTAGGCGATGCTGCAAAAAAAGCAGCGTGTTTGGTGAAGCTTCCCACCAAAAAGCTTAATTCTGGAATGGTCTTCTGCTGCCTGCAGTTGTTTGCGCTTTCGATCTGTTTATGGGACCTAGCGGCGAAAGCAAGCTTATTTGTTTATGTTGACTTTCCTTGTTAACACCTGTTCCGTCAGTTAGTCACAGAGTTAGAGAGAGGAGTTAGTCATATTGGAGACAACCAGAGCCATCATTGGAATTTCCTAACAATTCTCTCAACAGATTTCGTAAGAACCCCGAATTTTCACCCCAAGATTGCCTCTTATTGTAGAGCGTGATACCCTATAAAATCTGGGTTTTGAATTCATGCACATCTCACGTATATGTGCGCTTCCACCGTTATGAAAG